GGGAAAGCTGGCAGGTAAAATATACAAGCCACTAACTGTAATGTTTGACCCAGATAGATCATTAAACTTCATAACACAAGTCACTAAGCACAGAATGTCTATTCATTCAGAACATCTATTTATCACCCAAAGCCCTAATGGATCTGTGAATCACTCTAATGCATGACTAAAAAAAGGAAGAAACAGTGTGAAACTGCACATCGATGTTTTATTTTTTGCCTTGAGAGTCAAGCACTTTATTTTTGTAAGTTTAGGTAGGGAGTAGTCTGAGTTAATTGAGAATCAAGGCACATTTTGTCTTTCTCACAGCCATTTTCGGTCTGCCTTCCACAAGACTGCCTCCACACAAACCAAAGAGACTAGAAAATACATCCATCTTTTACAACAGAATCACTGACATGGCCTCTGAAACAGTTCATTGCACAAACCAAAAAGTGAACCTACTGCAAGAAAATGCATTCATCTGTTTCTTACCTCTGTTTGATGAGGCACAGGATTAAATCCACACTGATTACACACAGTGGCCTTGCATTCAGTGCAGGTACTATAGTTAGGAGGATCTCTTCTCAGGCTTGCCTTGCAGAGTGGACAGGCTTTGGGAAGAAGTTTCGGGCTTTGATCCAATTTAGTAGCCTGAGCAGATGAGGATTCCTTTGTTGTCGTTGTTTTTTGAGTGTCTTGGGGTTTATTTTGTTGCTGTTGCCTTTTTCCCTCCTGTGTCTGTGATTTAGGAACATTGGGGGAGCCCTTAGAGGCCTCTGAGCCTTTTCTTGAGGAAGGGGGTGTGGTGTTCTTGGCAGAGGTTTGGGAAACAGTGGAACCCTTGGTTGGTGGGGTCGTGGAGGGCTCATCCTGGACAGCTGAAATCAAATTGGATGCTGAGCTAAGAAACGAAGAACCAAAGCCTAGAACCTTTCCAGAAACAGAAGAGGCACCAGGCTGTGGAGAAGGAGAGCGGGATCGAGCACCACCGAAACCGAAACCAAAGAAACTGGACTCTTCTTCTTTTTTAGGGGGCTCAGTCTTTGATGGTATCTCAGTTTTGGCAGGAGGAGCACCTTTTGTTGTCTGATGTGGAAGAGGTTTTTGTTGTGACGTTTGCTGCGACGGATGAGTTGCACTTGTGCTGGACTGGCTTGACAGTTTCTGACCCTCTGTTGGTTTGGTTGGCTGGCTGGCAGATGACGGCATCTGCTTACTATGAAGAGTGTCTTTCTTTGCAGGGTTCTGTGATGGTACGGAGTCCTTGGGCTGGGGCTGGGCTTTTAGTGTAGGAGGTCCGCTGTTCTCTGCCCCTCCAAGAGCTCTCTGCATCTGGCAATTCAGGCAGAGCCACTCCTTAACCTGCGTACATGGAGAATACACATTTATGTTATACAATTGCTAGTTTTTAACTTAACAAAAATGAAAATGAATCAGTTGTTCTGCATTTTTACCAACAGAAAGACAATTTATACAGTGAAAAATGTCTTCTGAGGAATTAGCATTACTTATTCATGGTTGCATCGGTAAAAAACTAAATTTACTACTTTAGCGAATGGTGATAAATAATTGTGAAAAATATGAGCTTCTGGGGGGAAAAACTCTTCTTCAAGGAATTAAAACCATCACAGTCCAATACAACATGCTTCAGAGACAGTGGACTTCTGGATTGAAATACATAACGTTGGATCTTTACCTGATAGTAAAAAGTGACATGTAAATCTAGAGAGGTCTATTCAGCAACTGATATTGATAAAGATCTTGTTTCTTTTCCTTTTTAATTTTTTCCTTGTTTCTTTTCCTTTTTAATAAAAAAAACTAAAAATACTTAAAATGAGGCATGAATATTGTATGCTACTGCTTTATGTATCATGCTAATTACAGATAAAAACTAAATGAGTTAGGGATTTGTACTCACGGTTGCATCTGGAGGACTGAACCCACACATGTTGCAGACCACTGATTTACATTGTGTGCAGGTGTTATGGTTGGGCGAATCCTTAGACTTAAGATTGAGTTCTGTATTTTTACAGACTGGACAGAGGGATTTCACCCAAGCTCCAGATCCACCTTTCACCTGAGGCTCTGCTGAAGGAGGCCTTGAGCCAACTGCACCTCCTGGATGAGACCCAGGTCCACTTGGGCCTTGTTGTTGAGGTCCACCCTTCCCAACACCCTGCTTAGGGGATCCACCCCCACTTGCTCCTTGTTGCAATCCTCCCCTGCCCCCTCCCTGATGTGGATGATCTCCTCTCCCAGTTCCTTGCTGTACAGGACTTCCCCGACCAGCTCCTTGTGGTTGAGATCCATCCCGTCCAGCTCCTTGGCCTCCCCTTCCCACACCCCGTGTCTGCTGTCCACTTTGCCTCTGAGGCCCCTGTGAGGCAGGTTGGCCATTCCCCTGCTGTTGAGGATCCTTCTGCTTTGAGGGTCCTGGAGGCTGCTGTTGTTGCTTTTCCTCCTCATCCCCAAAATGACTGAACTTGTTTACAGCAGAGGACATTGCACTTAGAGGATTCCCCCCACTCAGAAAGTTGGAGGAGAACATGTTGGCAGTTGGGAATGGGGCTCTGAAGACTGGTGTTGGAGAGGGCTGGGATGGGAGGAGCCCAGTGGAGGGATTCTCTCACCAGTTGCAGTTATCCCTCACATCTACCTCCAGTGTCCCTTAGGAAATAGAAAATGGACAAAGAAAAGAGAGAATTCACACATTACTTGTGTTTTTAATGAATGCATATATATGTGCATGCATTAAACATCAAGTAATACCATATACATGATAATATTAAAATATTAATAGTTCCAGACTCAAAACATAAACAAAAGGATGCGATACCATGGTACAAATTTAAATATCTCAGAAATGCTTTATATTCTGCATAAGGCAAAATGAGATAAATGAGAATAGTACTTTGACTGAAAGTATTGCTATTTAGCCAAGTCGTCTTCAAAGCAGGTAAAAACCTAATTTATGCAAGAGTGGTACATAAAATAAACAAAAACATTTTAAACAAACAGTTATCAACTTCATAATCGGTCACTGACATGTAGAGGTTGTAGACTGTAGATGATCAATATCGCACTGTCACGCAGTAATCACTGACACATAACATCCAGTCATATGGTAAATAAAAGAGCTAACAGTGAGGGATAGAGGTTCCCTTACTGCCCTGATCATCATGCATTCCCCTTTTACATAATCTAAACCTATTTTAATCATCACTTTTTCATTATTATGCATTTTGCATGATCTTATATTACCTGGTGTTCTGAATTACATTGCACTGGAATGCATAAAATATCGACGACATATCTGTTATAGACCATACTATGAAAATAAGTATTGCCTAAAAAGTTGATAAAAAACAGTTCATGTCCATGATATTTGATAACTACAATCCAAATTATGAGTTCGATTCTGCCGTTACAGAGTCAAAACTAATGACAATTTGGCAAAGACAATTTTACTACACATATTGTTTATCACCATGTGAAATACAGATTATATAAACATCTAGCATGAATATGCAACAGTGATGAAACACTGAAAATCTCGTGTAAATCATGACTGCATTCGCCCTGTGATTGACTGTGCGTTTGGACATTTCCCTTCAGCACCCTGGACAGCTCTCTACACTCAGCTCATGCATCGCGTAATTCTATGCGGACACATTTATGACGAGGAACTTTAAAGGGTCAGTGGGTACTCTGTGTGTATTTATTCGCAAATGTATAAATGTTTTTCAGTATACCGCGTGCCATCAAAATTATATCCACATTGGCGATCATTAACCTGATATCAACGTTAAATAGTCACGCTGTGTTCTTCTAACAGCCTACAAACATATATTGACAGATTAAGTTTTTTTTCCTGCTTCTGCTGCTTCAAAAGCAACATCTATAGCCCGTTTACAGAAATCCTCCGTCGGCATATCCGGGTTGTAAAACCTCCGCTGCATGTGTTAAACACAAATTGGTTTACAACATTATGTTAAAGAACACTTAATGTTTCGTTGGGACTGGCAGTCTTAGTCACAAAATATAAGGATACGTTTTTACTCCAATTTACCAAAAAAAAAAAAAAACAAAACACTGTAATATTATAGGTTGGTTATTTGATATGAGGTTGTAGATGGTAGATGATCAATCTCAGACAGTCACGATCTGCAGTAATCACACTGATTTCGCCACATAACATGCATTCAAACGGGAAATAAAGGAGCAAACGGTGAGAAATGGAGGTTCCCTCACTGTCCCGATCATGATGCATTCGCCCTTGATCAAACACTGTCGGAGGATTTCCCAGCCTCATCACTAAAACCGCATCCTTCCGAAAGCATTTCCAGACTAGAAGTATTCTTCTACTACAACACACCATAATCATCCTTCCTCAAATCTACCACTTTCCATGTGATCACATGGAAAAACATGATTATTTTCATCATAACGGCCGGCTTAAGTGGTACAAACAGCATCCTACCTTACAGCGTGCGAGCATCCCTGTTTATTCTCCCATTTCTGTCTCTCTAGTGCTGTTTGGTGATCGGCTGCTCGGCGTCTAGGATGGAGGGTTACAAGGATCTGAGGGCATACCCGCGTTCACAGTCGCCCCATCTGCGCATGCGCCGCACATGACAGGTGATCAGCACACATCACCTCGCGAAAATTGAATTTAAAGCGACATAATCATTCGTCTTTGACAAACTGTCCTCTAATAATCGGCTTCCGTTTGTTTGGGCATCTGTTAGGGGTTTGATATCGTTTGGGCAAAAAATAATCATTTTATTATTGAAAGCTCATAAGAATGTTGACAGTGCATCAATATAAATAAATAAACAAAAACACCATAGGCCATTATTAATATTTTCACAATACTGTTTTATTATAATTTTTATTTAAAAATGTTGATTAAATGTTTGAACATCCCTATATTTTAATATTATGACAATAAAGATTAATAGTGTTGTCTCCTGGTTAACCTTTTATCTGACTTTAATCTAAATGTATAATAATATAAGGAAAAGGTGGGTACTTTAATAATGGATAAAACAAACAAAACATCTAAATAAAAACATGACAACTGCAATATTATCCACTCCACTATCAATGCACAATGATACTTCTAACCAACAAACAAGTAATTCCTCTTAACAAATAAAGTGCATTTATAAAGGAAACTCTACAAAGCAAAATATGTTTAAAAAGTAACCATTTCATTCACATCTTTTATGCATTGTGCTTGAATGAAAATAAATAAATAAACAAATAAATAAATAAATAAATAAAATAAATGATCCCCTGAGGGCAAATAGTGTGCAACATAGGGAATAAATAAATAAATATTATTAATTATTATTATTATTATTATTTCTTCTTCTAATAACTGTGTGCACTGGATGTAAGCTGCTATAACATGCAATATGGTTTATGTTTATTAATTTAGAAAGTCAACTGCAGTCAGTATAAAAGTCTGTGCCTGTGGCAATGGCTTAAATCAGTTCACCTTCAAATTCACAGTAAACATTGGTGGGGTGTGACAATTCCCTTTCTCACTTGTCTCTTCCACGTTCTCTCTATGCCTGCCTGTCATTTGTATGTGCATACTCACTCACATGCAGCATCATTCAATTCTCAGGCAGCGAGAGAAGCATGCTTTTTCTCCGTCTGCATTATAGGTTTTATTGCTTGGCAGGATCAGATATGGTCCTGAGAGAATGTAATGTGCTCCACTCTACTGCTAATGGTCGATCCATAAAAGACCATCAGTGCCGCCATGCCAGCACCATTACCTGAGTCTTGCTGCCCCATCCTTCTTCCAGAATGAAGCTCTCAACAGTCATCAGACTTCAAATATCTCAATAGCTGGCCAATATAAGATCTCCACTTTCCTAATGTCTCTAAAGCAGTGGTTCTTAACTGGTGGGGATGCAACAAAAACTGGTTGCATTATAATTGTGCACAATTCACAAGTTTATCTTTGTGCAATAAATAGTTATGGTACGGCATTGGATCACCAATCTGCTACAGTATTCCTGAACTACCTGCCTTTTAACTTCCAAAAAGTTTTCAAACCACAAAGGAAGCAAAGAACCATAAACATCTAATGAAGTGTTAAAGGTGCAGTAAGTACAACAGCTAGCGGTTGAAATGGGGACTGCAGTCCAAATTCAAACTATTGTTTCTCCCGCCCCCTCCTCCTCAGACTCGAAGTTCATGTGGGTTGCCAGATTGAGGACACGCAACAGAAACCAGCGCAGCTGACAATGGAAGGCAACAAGCTTTACACTGAAAGTTTATGAGTTGATTTATCCATGTTTTAACATGCCTCTCTGGTCATAGAGCTTTTTAGATGGATGCCGAGGCTTTTTAGGTCGGGTAGAATCTGCGATCTCTGACTCGATCTCTGACGTTTGCTGCGTTCAATGCCTTCAATACGCTGTTTTCCACCAACTGGCAACCCGGGGATTTCGAAATACTATTGGTTAAACTGGCAGTGGGAGGAATCACATGGACCAAAACACAACAGACATTCCGACACGGAATGCACATTTTCAAAGAAGAATATCTGGCTGTACCATTGTTTTTCTGAGAAACAAGTATGTGAACTTAGCATGCTACCTACATACCTGTGAATGTATTATGGTGTTTATGCTTTGGTACAGTCAAAAAATCACATACAGGACCTTTAATCTCTTCTTTACTGAACAGTGATTCTTTCCCATGATATCCACTCAGCATTTGAGCAGTTTTTTTAAAGCATTACATTTAAAAAGGCCTGTTAACTGACTTTACTAAATTCAATGTTTGCAGAGCATGAGTGGTCACTTATCACATCCACACTGTCAAGGGCCAGTCATTCCTTATACAGTAAGTGTTCATCTTTTATCTTCATTCAGGCTTTGAACTGAGCCAAACTTGTACCTGTTCAAATCAAATTATTTTATTGACTCCATATTCTCTCTCTATTTTTCCCCTTTTCTCTAAAACGTCTAGTTGCTAGTGGAGCCTTGCTCACTCAAAAGTCAGACTGAAAACCATGTTGAATCGAGGTCACATTAATCAAGAGCACCTGGCTTACAGCCCAGGCAAGTTTTCTACAAGAAACATTTGATTCAAGACAGTAGACCAAGCCTGTCACCCTGTAATGCCCTGAACAAGAGCAGTCTAAACAATCTGCCAAGCTACACCACAGATTGCATCTCTCTGGGGATTAAGGCCAAAACTGCCATTTACTCCTTCCAATGCAAATTCATTCTCATCACTTTAGAAGAAGCCCTCAATCATTCTGAGTTATAGTCTAGCATTGGTTTATGGAATAATCATATATCACCTAACTGTAATGTGCAGAGTCAGATGTTATTGGGAAGAATGTCTCTTCCAGCAAAGTCAGCATGTCTTGAAACTATATCATTAATGAATCTCACCTGTTTGCCCAAATTTGAAGATACAAAATTAAAGATTTATTCACCCATAAACCAGAGTTCAGAACTGAACTGAGAATGCAGTTTAAATTACGATCCAATTAATGAATTTGGTTTGAACTTGAATTGCAATAGAAAACAGGATGCAGATTTGAAATTTCATTTCATATTATATAAAAGTAATTTTTAAGTCTTTTTATACTTTAACTTCAAACAAGGCTTTTTCAAGAGTTTTTGAAGTCTGAACAGTTGATAGCTAGAATGAGAACAATAGAACAATATAATGATTAAACAATAGAAAAATAATAAAATATAATGATTGACAAAACAACAGATAGAATGACAGACAGAACGACAGAACGATAGAACGATAGATAGAATGATAGATAGATAGATAGATAGATAGATAGATAGATAGATACTTTTTGTGTTTCCATTGAAGAAAAATAATCATTGTAACAATATGAAAGTGAGAAAAATGATTAACACATTTCTTTAATCCAAAATGAATTCCTACATTAGCATAAGGTTAGTGGTTATGTTTAAATAATGTATTTTTATAAATTATACCAACATGCTGGAAAATGTTCTAAAATTGTTTTGAATGAGGTATGTGGTGAGAGCCAGAAATCGTCTGGAAACATATGCATTGCCAAATAACATTGGCTCTAATGCAGTAATGTTAATATAAATGAGAAATTCAGCCAATATCTCTATTCCGTCACTGAGCAGACAGAATTCTGCTATTAAAACACACAGACTAAGACAGCCAGATAGAGAGTCACGTTTCTCCAGAGCCTGTTCCTGTGAGTGAGCGTGTGTACGGTGAGGACGTGAGTGAGTCGTGCATGGCTTCACTCTCCCACTCGGCCTGCGCGTCATGTGTTGGGGGAGGAACGCATGTATGCGTGTGTGGTGCTGATTATGTGTTGCGTCATGCGTGGGGAAGTGTAAACACTAGGAAGCTGGAATCATTTTTCCTCTCCCACCATTTGTCTGTGTGTGGGTGGGTGTGTATCATGGCCAGATTGGATTTTATATTTCTCTAGACATGATTACAGAACCATTCTCACCCAGAGGAACATTTGATTGCTCAGATATTGCTCTTTCAAAGCTCAGTGAACTCAATAGTTTCTCATTTATTTTTCAAAATGCATAAATTAAAAAAAAAATCTAATTTGTCTCAGATATTTTTCAGGGAGAAATAAAAATATACTACATAAATGAGATAATTGTTAACACATCAAGAGTAAAGAGAAGGAAGAAAGAAGAATGTGAATGAGTAATATTTGCGTTTATATTGAAATATCCTATTTTTGATTGCAGCTGTCTATAAGTATTGTTGAGTTCTCACCTGAAACTCTAAAGACACAATGGCACCAGATGGTAATACAATAGTACTGAATAAAGACCATATTCATATCTTATTATTTATACTGAATTCCAAGAAACTTCATAACATTGTTAAAATGTTTGGAGTCTTAGGAAGATTATATAATGTTTTGTATGTTCAGCAAGGTTGCATTTATTTGATCAAAATGCAGCAAAACCATTAATATTGTGAAATATTATTAAATATTGTTTTCTATATTAATTATTTTTTTTAAATGTAGTTTATTCCTGTGATGCAAAGCTGAATTTTCAGCAGCCATTACTCCAGTCTTCAGTGTCACACGATTCTTCAGAAATCATTTTAATATGCTGATTTGGTGCTCAAGAAACATTTCTTATTGTTATTATCAGTGTTGAAAACAGTTGTGCTGCTTAATATTTTTGTGAAACCTAAATAGAAAGTTCAAAAGAATAGCATGTATTTTAAACAGAAATAATTTGTAACACCCTAAATGTCTTTACGGTCACTTTTGATCAATTTAATTCACCCTTTCTGAAATGAAACATTCATTTCTTTAAAAGAAAAAAAAATCTTACTGACTCCAAACTTTTGAATGGTAGTGTATATACATATATGCACGCATATGCAGTCAACTTAAGCAGTTAAGTCAAATCTGAAAAATACTTACTTTATATTGAGTAAAATGACAATATAAAAGCCAATCATTTAATTTAGAAAACATGTCTTTATAATATCCCACTTAATATTTTTCTCATATAGCTGCCTTGATGTTTTAGGACGATCATTAGGAGGTCCTTGCCACTAAAAAGTTTGAAAACCCCAATCTAGTCATTTTATTGGTTTATTGTAGTTTGCCAC